TCAGAAATTAGAAAGCTGCAGCCACGATATCTTCTACAAGAGAAACAGGATCAAGCTTTCTCTCCAGCTTTCTCTCCAGAGCTGAACGACGGCATACGGGCACTTTAAAAGTCTGTTCCATGCTTTAACCCTTTGATGCACAAGCTATGTGAACCCCTTCTAATGCGCAACATAGCCCGCATTCATTTCCTATATTATTTCATGCATGGCTGAGTGTGTCTTTGCTATGTCCTTTGAAATATTTTATTTCATCATTTAATATTTCATGTTGCCATTATATATCTTGTTTTTGATTACCACAAATCATTATTTTTATTTTTACTTTCTTACTGTATGAAACAACCTTAGTTTTTGTATTGCTACATCAATTTTACACCCATGGGTCAAAGAGGACCCGTATGTATTCACTATATAATTTGATGGGAACTTTTGATATTTGTAATTGGGAACATATTTTACATCTGAACACCATCACTTTTGCATATCTGATGCATCTAAGTCTTAATTTGAAAATATTAGATATCTTGTGAAAGATAAATGTAAATAGGCTTAATATTAAAAAATTATATTATTTTTGTTTGTATGTCAGCAAGAAAATAAAAATACTGATTTGTGGTAATCAAAAACAAGATTTATAATGATTACTGGAAATATTAATTGATTAAATAAAATTATTTCAAAAGCAAAGAAACACCTATCCATGCATAAAATAACATAGGACATGAACACAGGTCATTTTTGAATAGTTGAAGTAAGAAAGGAAAAATGAGTTAATTGTTAACACCTGAGGGAGTACCTGGAATACAGAATGATGAAATTACTTTATAGCAACGATATATAAACTAAATACTCAGTTGGATCACTTTTGACCCATGTGGTGCATCAAAGGGTTAATAGCAGTGGAGGATGACAGGACAGACACAAGAGAAGAAGAGCGAGTGACACAGAGAGCAGGAAGGTCTAGAGGTCATGAACCCTGACTCAACTTTTAACACATTTTGAGTCCATTATTTCCACCTGATGGGCCACATGGGAATATCCCAACATCTAAAACCCACACTGACCTTTCAGCAGGAACAAGAGGCTGAAACTTCCACTGATCCTCCTCGGGGTCAAAGGTCAGCCTGTTCATGATCTTATTCTTCTCCTCTGGAGGGATGAAGTTCTCTATGATCAGATACCTGCATGTACAGAACACACAGTGATGCAAAGGTTGAGTTTGAGGTCATATTATAAGGCTTTATATTTAAGTCTGCAGATGTAATATTTTGATCCGGTTTTGAGTCTTAGGAGCCTCCTTGAGTTTTATGTTCATTCATTTGACTTTTGTACAAAAGTGACGTACAAATGTCTGGTCTGTGGTCACAATGGTACCTGAAGCAACATACCCCCACCACCGCAGCCACGTTCTTTTTAAACACAGGATTGTTTTTGGTCTGAATGCTGCTGAAGGTGATGATGATCATTCTTCATTTCCATTGTTGAGTTGTTGTATATACTGATTAAATAAAATGTTGCTAAAATTCATTTTGAAGTTGTGTGTGTGTGTCGGTAAAGTTTCCAGATTTTATACATTATCTTAACATCTCATATCCCCCAGCATTGTTTTCAATAATGAAATTGTGCGTACGTATCTGATGTGAATGCACACTGCGTTTGCTGAACTATCCATGCATATTTGCTGATTCTGCTGACTGTTTCGACTCACTTGAACTTGAGCTCTCTGGTGAGCTCATTCTGAGTTTGTTCCAGCTCCTGTCGGCTCCTCACATGCTCGTCGTTCACGTCCTGGATCTCCGCTTTGATGCACTGGAGCTTGGCATATAGCTGAGAAAGAGAGAGAGAGAGAGACAAACACAGAGAGTGAATGTCGCCCAGTGTGGTGTAGTCGCTGATGAACTGGTCTCCAACTCGCTGCAGCTTGGTTGCCCATAGCAACAGCACTGGAGGCACTGGTGTCTGGAGAAATGGGCAGCCAATTGGAGCACAGCAACATGGCGGCCCTCCCTCTTTCCGGCTCATTCCTGCTCTTTCCTCCTGAGCTTTCACACTGTTCATTCTTTGACAGCCCTGGGCTGTCTGCATGGGCTTTAAACAAGTAGGCTAATCCTGACTTTAGTGCTGGTGTAGTTAGCCTGACAGATGATAAAAGATTTATGGATTCATACCATGCACAGTCCCGCTTGATACTGACCGCATAGTTTTTAATTCAAAGTTCAGTGAGAGATTTCATCTGTGAAATCACTACAGCAAAACAAAAACATGTGTTCATTAAAGTACATCTATACATCCGGCTTAAGTCCCCCCTGACTATTGTCAACCGCTCCTTTCACAAAAAGTTCAGCAGTTACCAGTTTTTCCACAGTCAACAACCTTGTTGACCGACTAAACCAAAGGTTTCGCTGATCTTCACATGCCAGCCTCTGAGCTCAGAAATCACAGTGTGAAAACTTCAAATCTTGATCCCGCTTTTCCTCAGAGAGTCGGCACCATGCAGTGAGAAAAGGATGCATGGTACAAGTTAGGATCAACACAGGATCATTAATCACATTGTCATCCACACACAATGGGTTTGTTTGGGGTTAGTCCTGCTGGCCGTGCAACGGATTGGGAAGCGAGAAAAGCAGGGAGGGGTTTACGAGATTCGGAGTGTTATTTTAGGGTTTGTACTGAGGGATTTAGGGGTGAGTTACTGGGAGATCCTAATCAACTTGACAAGAAAGGGAAAACAAATTGAGAAGGTCAGCATGGAAAGATTGAAGAGGCCCAAAAAAGAAAGTGATAGAGAGTGACGGAGGGAGGGAAATGTCCAGGAAAGAGGAGGGGACGGCAGGACAAACCTTGAGGTACTGAGATTTAAGTGTGTGTCCGGACGGAGCATGTGTCCGAGGCAGGGGGTCATTAGGATCCAGGTCAGGGGTCAAAGGGGTCAAAGAGGGATATACTGACATTAGGAACAAAAAGGAAGGAGTATGTGTGTGCATGTAAAAAAACACGTCTTCTTTTGTGTGTAAATTGCTGCATGTAAATGAGCTTGCCTGTATGTGCATTTGTGTACACATGATTCTGTTCAGAATTTCAGACGTAGACGTAGTATCTGTGCATCTTTTACCTTCTTGAGTTTCTTGGTTTTGGCCTCCACCTCCTGTTGCAGAGAAGTGAAAGTCTCTCTCAGCTCCACCGTCTCTTCGTCCTGGACCAACATCTTCTGCTGCATCTCCCTCTCGCTACGCGACTGAAACCATTAATAAATAAAATCTCACCTTTCTGTTCAATAGCATCTCCCTGTGTTTTGCACCCCAATACACTGTATTTAGCAGGTTAAGTTCAGTATTTTCAGTATTTCATGTATTTCTGTGGTTGAAGAGAGGCTGTTCCTAAGTTTCCTCCTGCAGCAGACCCACGCAAACACTCCTCTCCACAAATATCAACTAATATATTAATGGAAACCTTTAAGAAGACTTAAAGCAGCAAGTATGAATTGTGTAGCTGTATTAAGTAGGGAAAAAATACTAAAATCTAATAAAAATGAATACCACTTTTTCTATTGGAAGATATAATTATAATTCGCAATAAATAAACATACAAAACACATCTGTGTCTCTTCATGGTTGAACTAACCTTTACTGTAATGTATGAAATGAATTCTGAGTAAACACACACAGGTTTACCTGCTCAGCAATCTCCTGCCTTTTCATCTCCAGCATCTTCTGCTGCTCATTAGTGTGATCCATGATGTTCTTTCCACCAACCAGCAGCTTGCTCTCCATCGCCTGAGAGAAACAAAAAAATATAGTTTTGTATATATTTATGATTAAAAACACTTTTGTCCTACAGTGTCAACCAACACAGTAAACATTTACCTGCTTACTCGGTGTCAGCTCATTTGACAAATATATGTTACTACACATCAAAATGTAATTATATTGCCTACGTTCATTTATAATTTATCCATCCATCATCAACCGCTTATCCTGCATACAGGGTCTCGGTGGGGCTGGAGTCAATCCCAGCTGACATCGGGCGCAAGGCGGGGTACACCCTGGACAGGTCGCCAGTCCATCGCAGGGCCACACATAGACAAACAACCAGTCACGCTCACACTCACACCTAAGGACAATTTAGGGTAACCTATCAACCTAGCCTGCATGTCTTTGGACAGTGGGAGGAAGCCGGAGCACCCGGAGAGAACCCATGCAGACGCGGGGAGAACATGCAAACTCCACACAGAAAGGCCGGGGCAACCTTCTTGCTGTGAGGCGACAGTGCTAACCACCGCACCACCGTGCCGCCCATTTATAATTTATAGATGCTATAAAATGAATACTAAATAAGTTGGTAATCACATCACAAAACAAGTGACCAGTTAACTAGATTTGCTCAATTTGTACAGAAATTAAGGAGTCAAACATGTCTGGTGTCACATGTATAAAAGCTAATGTGCCAGTTGTAAAACTTCACTGTTTTGTTTTTTCGTGTAGTGGTGAAAGCCATGGTTTTGAGGATAGTGGAGTAGAAGGGAATCTGAGCTTTTGAGAGCCAAGGTAAAATATTTATTTTAAAAATCATAATTTTGAGAAAAAGTTGTACTTTCTTGAAAAAGTCAGAATGTTACAAAATAAAGTAAAGTACAAAAAAAGCTTTTATTATACATAAATATATTAAATATTAAATATATTATACAACGTCATAATATGTCTTTGATTCGACACATGATGCAGTGTGTGCATACACTTCATTGATTTCACCTAATTTCAGGTTTTATCAGTGCAGTGTGTATAGAGGTCAACACAGGTTGTGAATGTTGATATGTGTTTGATTTTGCTGTACATTTCTCGTGTTGCACGACACAGAAAAAGATCATTCAAGGACAAAACAATACTGGATTTAATTGGGTACCATTTCCCTGTAATCAAGGTGTCATCTTATCCAACAGGGAAACACAATCAATCAGAGGCTGGTTTTATCACATTTAACTGACATCAAATCCAGTAACAAAATGTACTGTAACTAGAATTTGTATGTTTTATAAGAAATAAAATCAGAAAGTGGGTCTAAAAGTTTGCCTCAAGAACAAGGATCGAGTGTCTTTCCTGAGGTCAAACTGAGTTCATCTGGAGATCTAACAGTTAAGTCTTTGTGAGTGAGTGTGTGTTGGAGCTGCAGTCAGGGCAGACATTGTGCTGATGAGGCAGTTGGAGCTGGAAGTGGGTAGCTTAACATGCCCATGATGACACCATGATGACACGACCATGCCACAACAAGCTGAGCTCGACTAAAATCTCCTTGTGCTTCGGACTTCAGACATGAATCACATTCAAAAGTAGACCAGTACAAAATGACACAGTGTGCTTTCATAATGTAAAATATGGTATCAATGAAAGGTGACTAATAACAACTTTGACCTGAAGTACCTCTACAACTATTAGATGGATTACCACAAAGTGACATTTTTGTTTTTTAGTGAAATGTGGCAGAACATTGATCTGTCTTATATTCATGCAGATAATTATATATCTAGCAATTGTGCGCTTATAGTCACCTCTTCTGACATTATACTGTCCACTAGGACAAGCCAGAGTTTGTGTGTGTGTGGGGGGGGAGTTTTCAAGGCCACTGTGTGAGGGAGCAGTCTCCCTGCTTTAATTGTCATGTTTGTCCTTTGCTCGGGGCCAGATGTCTGATACTACCCTAGGTGCTAGACTTCTGACCCAGCTGAATCATTTTTGCACTTCTGTGTTTTCTCTTTCTTTAATAAATACTAAAAGACAATGGCTTGTTGTAATTTGTTCAATTCTGCACCAGGAAATATACTATTTCCACGACAAAATGTCTTTTGTACAGATTCAGGATAGGGCTGGACAATAAAAAAATAACAATAATTATCGCAATATAATTATAAAATTTTTCAATAACAATATAACAAATGTTCAATAAATGTTTGACTTTATTCACTTGAATTATACACAAATTAGGACTTATTTTTTTATTAAGATGTTTATTTTGTGGGGGAAAAGGGACTAAAAAAAGCTTTTACTTAATTTGACTTGTGCATAGATTAAGATTTTATCATAATTATGTTCTAACTCAGATTTGTGAAGTGATCCACTCTTTAGCATCTAGTGCTGACCATAATTTAGATGTTAAAATCTAATAATTTAGTTTAAACCACAATTAACCATCAGGTTTCTTCAACTTCCACTCAGGAGCAAAAATCTGCCTTTAAACTCAAAAGAAATAACGATTTGATGCTTATCCTGATGGTTATTGATTTATCGTGATAAAATTTCTGGCCATATCGTCCAACTCTAATTCAGGATGAACTGTAACAACTTTGGTGCTCTATTAACCTTTAACGAGGTCTCAATTTCATTTAGTCTCATACTTTGGTTTTTGAGCAAATACCTGCAAAATGGATGATGCTTTAGCATCAGCTGTACTTTGTGTACTTTAATTTGCAAATATTAGCAAGCTAATACCCTAAACTAAGATGGTGAACACGGTAAACATTACACCTGCTTGGCATCAATATGTTGGCATTGTCAGTGTAAACATGCTAACACACTGGAGGAGAGAGCCGTGGCAGCGCCTGAACTTTTGGACAAATAAACACCCATAGTCGGACTATTATGCTACGACAACTACGCCGTTTTCCAGTGGGAGGAGCCAAGAGTTAATTGCTTTTATTAAATTAACTTTTTGCTTAAATTTTTGGGATTAAAAAGTAGATTTTTCTTCTCTTGCGCTTCTCAGCAGCGAGCCACTGTGTGTTTCCGGTTTCCACTGTTGTTGTTGTTGTTGAGCTCTGTGATACTACTACTTCATATTTATATAAAATCTGGACAAAACTGGACATTGCTTGGAGAAAAGCGAGGATGCTGAACTACCTGGTAAATTCAGAAAATCTGTTACTTGATTCCAGCTATTGTTGTACTTCACTGTGAACAAATCAGCATACTTGTATTTCTACTTGTACTTGTTATTTCGGCAGCAGTTTGATCCGTTTATTGCAATTAAATCAGAGCAAAATGTTTACTTCGGTTTCATACTGCTGTTAGTAATCGCTGGTTGTGTTTATTCGTATTATGGCACTGTGTGTGAACACTCAGCAGTAGTGCAGCGATAAAACTGTGAATATGAAAATTTGCATTTGGTCTGAACCAAAAACAAACATGTATGTAGCATCATGGGAGGTTTGCTCTCTGAATGCTTTCTAGTTATTTTCTCCAACCTTTGAAATTAAACTCTAAGGTGCAGATCTTATTTCATATGTGTTAACTCTGATGAAGACTTCTTATCATTTCATGCCTCTGGTTACAGCATCTTTGGTTAGCATAGAGAATAAAGGCTGGGGGCCACAGTGATGCAATCTTTCTTGAAGTGAATCACACTCACACAATCACACACATGTTCTCTGTCCTGAGGGCAAAAAATCTAATGAAATGAACCTAAGAAGCAGGAACAGAGAGAGAGAGAGGAAACGGGATACAGAGGGAAAATGAGAAGGAGAAAATGTAAAAAGGGGGAGAGAAAAGAAGAAAATAAGGGGGGCACTGCCAATTTGTATTGGCCACATTCCAGTCTCAGTACTTTATACAAAAAGACAGTGTGTGTGTGTGTGTATGTGTGTGTCAACTGTGTGCAGCCTATACGTCCTTTATTACTGGCACATCCCACACTGTCCACTTGATTATATGAGCGAACACAAAAACACACACATACATTAAAAAAACACACTCAAACTCATGCAGAGTACAGTGGAGTCCTTCAGAGAGGATGCGTCTGCTGCAGGTTTTTACAGAAAGCCTCTTTGTTACGAGCTGTCTTTGTGTTCTGTGTGTGTGTGTGTGTGTGTGTGTGTGTGTGTGTGAAACTGCCTGGTTTGCTGCTCTTTGTGTTTTGTCATATTCTTTCAGCTTCATTAAAGAGCTGATTCATGTCAGGGCTTTTCTCTCTCATGCATCCCATGTCCCCCCCCCCCCACCAACAGGCTGGTAAGATACATACAGCCATTTCTAATGCAGGCTATGAATGGTTGCTGACTTTAATGGACAACTTGACACTTTGCATATAACTCAAGGTTTCAGTTTTTCTCACACACAACAATGAAACCTACAGACTTTTATCTAGTGAAAAAACATATCTTCATGTTTTAACTTCAAGATAACAAGATCCACTGTGAGTCTCACTGGGTTTATGAAACTGTGTCAAATCCCCAATTACATCAATTCACAACTGCAGCAACAAATTAAAATCAAACAATGTTTTGTTATGCTGTACGTCTCCTGGTTATCCTAAAAACAGCTTGCTAACATTGAGTTCATAGGAGGAAACCAGGGCACTTCTTCTGCACAAACTTTCAGTTGTGTGTTCTGGCTCAAACAAAGAAGAAGTTTAGAAAAAAAGTATGGAGGATGGCTTCACGTCAGCAGGTCAATCCATAAGTTGAAAATAACATAATTAAGACATGAGGTGATTCTTTAGATTTTTCTGCCTTTTCCTGAACTTGTTTTGCAGAAACAAATACGTTGCTAGCATTGTCAGCTATCTTCCCTAGTTGAAATCAAGCGGTGCTTTCAGTTGCAAGAAGATGATGCCTTCACTAATCGTCCCTATCTGAATAGTATATGCCATTGTAATTAAGTTAGTAAAACCAGTTTAAGCAGCCTCTACATTACAAACTGTAATGTAGCACAAGCACAGCATTTTAAGTCTTTGCTAAACAAATTATTTTATTTATTTATTTATTTTTAAACCTGTCCTGCCCAGCAGC